AAAGTGCTGGGATTACAGACTTGAGCCACCGCACCCAGTCACTTATTATTAATATTTACATGGTATTTCTTTTCTTCCTTTTATTATCAATATGCCTGGGTCATTGACTTTGACAGGTATTTTAAGCCTCATGTAATTGGGTAATTTTTTTTAATACATTCTGCCTTTTTCTGACATTTGAGTGGCATATCTAGACCATTTATATTTAAGGTAATTATTGATAGGTTTAGTGCTTTGTCTGGCATTTTATTATTTGTTTATTTCTGTTTCTCATTCCCCTTTTATTGCTTTTCTTGCCTTCATAGGGGTTATTAAGTTTTGTTTTCTAATTCTTTCTTGGCTTATTTATGGTATATTTTCATGTATTTCTTTGTAGCTTTCAAAGTGATTGTTCTGGGCATTACAGTAAACATATGTGACTTGTAATAGTCTAGTGATACATTTGTTTCCTGCTGTAACTATAGAGTATTCCACAAACTCGGTGGCTCAGAACAGCAGAAATTTGTACTCTCAGTTCTGGAAACCAGAAGTCCAAGTCAGGTTTGCTAGGCCAGCATCAAGATGTGGGCAGGGCTGGAACCACTTCAAAGGCTCTGGGAGAGAATTCATCCCTTCCTTCTTCCAACTTAGGGCAGCTGCTGGCATTCCTTGGCTTGTGGCCACATGAACCCACTCTGCACTCAGAGTCATGAGAGCATCTTCTCCTCTGCCTGAAGTCTCCTTCTGCCTCTCTCTTATATGGATGCTAGTGGTGGCATTTAGGGCCCACCTAGATCATTCAGGATAATCCCCCACATTTAGATCCTTAACTTGGTCACATTTGCAAAATCTTTCATCTAGAAAGTAACATTCACAGATTTGAGGGATGAGGGTGAGGGCAGGAGTGGACAGGAGTGAGGCTATTACTTACCTTACTACAACTAATGCCAACATTTGCCACTTGAAGTATGGAAACCACGCTTGCATTTAGGGCCCTTTACCCCTTCAACTTTTTAAAATCATCATCTGAAGTACCAGAAAGTGTTCTAATTGTTTCAATGATTAAGTAAGATTTATAGAACTCATGGTAAACAAAATGTCCATTTTATATTGTATAGATTCCTCTTGTTTTTTCTCTTTTGAAAACACAAGTAGAAGTTTCTTTTCTTTTCTTCTTCACTTCTTTTCTTTTTGAACACTGTCCTTGAGCCAACCATTAAGGGCAGGTCTACCACCTACACTTTTTTTTGTTGTTTGTTTGTTTGTTTTGTTTTGTTTTGTTTGAAACGGAGTCTCGCTCTGTCCCCCAGGCTGGAGTGCAGTGGCAAGATCTCGACTCACTACAAGCTCCGCCTCCCGGGTTCGCCGGGCTTCCACTGCCATTCTCCTGCCTCAGCCCTCCCCGATGCCTGGGACTTTACAGGTGCCGCCACCACGCCGGCTCATTTTTTGTATTTTAGGTAGGAGACCAGGGTTTCAGGTAGTCAGGTGGTCTCGGTTCTGCCTGATCTGATGATCTTGCCTGCTCGGCTTCCCAAAGTTGCTGGATTACCAGTATGAGCCCTAGCGCCCCAGCCTACTACTTACTTAATTTGCAACAACAAGTCCTTTGCCTGATATTTTTTCAAGTTCCCTTTATTCTATAAGGATAGATTCACTGAAATCTTAAAATTGTAGTTGAAGTTTTCTTCCTTCTGGGCCTCCAGGATCCCAAACGGGAAAATCATTGCCTGAAGTAGATTTTCTGTAGGAACATTTTTTGTTTCTTTTTTGTTATCTTTCTGTCTTTAGTTTTTAAAAGTTGGACTTAGATGGGTATTTGGAATGGACTTCTTTGGGTTTATTTTTGAGAGTTAACTTTAAATTATTTTGGTCTGATAAATTCATGTAGTTGCAATTTGGATGATTCAGCAATTTTTAATAATTTCACACCCATTCATTCTAGCTCATCTCCTGAGTTCCATGATAAAAATAGTTGGATTTTTTTTTTTTTTTTTTTGTGTCCCCACAGGCCTCTGGAAGTTTGATTCCTTTTCCTGTTATTTTTATTTTTTGAGACAGAGTCTTGCTCATTGCTCCAGGGAGGCTGGAGTGGCCACGATTCTCAGCTCACTGCAACCTCGCCTTCTGGTTCAGCAATTCTCCGCCCCAACTCCTGGGAGTAGCTGGACTACAGGTGGCAGGCACCACACCTGCTATTTTTTTTTTTTTTGTATTTTAATAGAGATTCACTGTGTGCCCTGGCTGGTCTTGAATCCTGAGCTCATGCAATCCTCCCACCTCAACCTCCCAAAGGGCTGGGATTACAGGTGTGAGCCACTGCGGCCCAGCCTTTTCAATTAGCGTTTTCTCTTTC